CCCTACCCGTATGCAACAGTTGACATGGCAGATGCTCTGGGAGGTAAAAGTGACCAGGAAGATGAATATAGATCAAATTAAAAATTAAACCAAGAAGTGGTGTTCAAGCGGCATAAACTGACTTAGCTATATTTTAAATTTTCCTACATCTCAAGTCCTGTATCCTCAAAATTCTACTCAGTTTTCATTAATACTTCACCAGGCCCTGAGAAGATCTCAGCCTCCTAACTCTGCTTCAGTGAAAGCCATTTTTGTGTATTCTGGGAAACAGACGTAAGTAAGAGATAAATTTGGCACTTGAAATTTGCCATACACTTGACACTTTCCTGAAAATTCAGAGAGGTACTTGTCACCCGACCCCAGCCTTTGGGAAGAGACACGGGCGAGTTTCAGGACACTGCAGATTTTCTCTGGGCTTTCACAGCTGGCCTTTGAAGCCTTCTGGAGGGACCAGAATAAAGCCCAAGATCAGAGTGTTACACAAGACAATTAACATGTTAGACCTCCCCATCTCTCCCACCCCCCCGCCACTGCACTTTTGTCGGCCTCTCCACGTCTCTTCCCAAAAGAAAGGGGGAAAAACATCCTTTTTGTAGTGGCTGCTCATTATATAAGGCAAATCAAGAGTGAAGGGAGGGAGCAAAGAGATGGCACAGAGCCTGATAAGTGCACCCTTAAATCTATAATTAAAACCAAAGGCAAGTTCCCAATATAGCCAATTCAGTTATATAAGATCTTACAAAAGCTTCACACTGTTTGCTGGGTTTTGCTTTATTACTGTTCCCGCTCGCTGGAGTTCACTTCAGGTCAGTAGCAGATGAGGTTTGTAGTCAGAGTTTATGGCAGGGTAGAATGTAGCAGTGCCCTTTTTGTAAAGATATGCAAGTGTGCACCCAGAAGGGAAAAATAAAAACTGGCTCTACTTGAAAGAGACAAAGTTAATGGTCACTGTGGAGCTCAGTTCAGGCTATCTCTAGCTCTGGAAACTGATTGCTGGTTACTTAGAAATTACGTTAAGTGATGTTCTGAGAGTCTATAAAAGACCCTCCTTGCCCACCAGTCAGAGAAATGTGGTAGAGCTATGTGTAAGACAAGAAATCAGTCTGGATATAGCAGTACTAGTTGGTCAGACCAAGTCATGGGGATACGTAAGTGCCTCAGAAAGCCCATGACAAGCCTATGCGATATTTCTTCATGCCTACTAAAAGCAGCGTGCAGGAGAACACAAATTCAGCTGGCACTTTTGTAAGTGTAGGCAGCTTACTGTTCTATGCAACTGTACTGGGAGCAGCTATCTCTAAGTGGGAGTTAGAATAGGTATTAGAAAAATAGTATGCAACCTAGGTTTCAGAAATATAAATAAAAAGCCATTAGTGATAAAACCCTTCACTGCTGCTTCCTCCTCTTGCATTCTTTGCAGCAGGGGTAGGCAGTAGCATTCCTTGGAAGCGATAGCGTCCTAGGGCCGTACAGAAATTAGGCTATTCCTCCACATAAAAAAACCCCAAGAACACGGTGTTTAAACACAGCAGAAGCACTGAACAGCAACCAGCACTGTGCAGGCTTTCATGTATTTCTAACATACCAGATTTCCAAGGAGGAGGGAATATGGGTGCCAGAGGAGGAAGATACCACTTCCTTTTCCACTTTCTGGTTAAGTTACAATGTGTGGGCACATGTGACAAGTGCAACCTCCAATTTCGTCAGTTAATGCCTTTTGCCAAAGTCCCGTATCCCAAGGTGATATGTGCCCTCCAGAAGACCTTAACTGGAAGAAGCCAGTGATTACTGAATCTAGCACCAACATTCACAAATCTAAATAGCCTGTGGTTCTTACACCCAATTATATTTAGATTAATTTGTCTACAGAAGTAGACCTGAGGGAAAATAGAGCTTTTTCAAAAAAACCTCAAAATACTCCTTTTTTGCACAGTGACATTCACAAGCTTTATCACTTTTGACCAACATGATAGCTAGCACAAAAAAGGGAAGACTTATTTTCAGAAATGTTTGTGAAATCTGTGATCATCTTTTCTTTGAAATGTGAAACTTCAAAGAAATATACCTTTTAAACACTAGAAGGAAGCCAGATCTCTTAAAGTAACACGTTAATTGTTTGAACTGTGCTGCCTCTTTGGGGCCCTGAGAGTTCCCAGCTTGTAAATATCATATGCAAAGTACAGAGAAAATCCCCACAGACGGAATTATTTTGCTCACATAATATAATCAAAATATCATATCTGATTGGATTCAATTCCAGTTCTACTTGCGTGCTTTTATCAGAGGACTTTTGTGACTAATATTTGCCAATTGCAAGCACTAAAATAACCATCCAAACAATACTGTTTAAATTCCACTGGTTAGACAGCAGATACTCAGCTCTGTGAAGGTCTATGTGGAAGTGCTGAGGGAAGGAGAGGCTGAGGAACTGTGTTTTCCTTGCGCACCTGCTGGCCTCTATGGCAATATGATGCAAGGAAAGCTCCAACCTCACACCAAGTAATTCAAGGCTCTTTGGTTGCTTGATCTTTTCAGTGCAGTGGCTCTACACCTCCCACGCAAACCAGCAGAACTGATGCTATGCCTTTTTATCTATCCTTTCAGAAGCTAACACTCAGGCAGTGCCATGCAGAGACATGCCAAAGGGCATTTGCACACAGCGTAAATAAATTAGTTTCACAAAGTTCTGTGAAGTCATGTCAGATGTACAGGCTGTAAATGAGAAACTGGATCATTAAATTTCATTGGCATGTAATATCAGCCCAGGCTGTATCTGCTGACACCACTCCGACCAACAATCATCACCAGGTAACTCTCCACAAGAAAGCTAACATCTCTAAATTAAAACAGAGGAGAGGAGGCACTAAAAGACAAGGCTTACATTGTTGGTATTTTCTTCATAGGAGTGTTTCATAAGCTGTTGCTTTCTGAGAGGAGTCAATGTTTAGACAAGTTTTGTGATGCTGTAAATCCAGGTTGTCTTCCAGCTGTATATTTAATACGACGATTACCTGCACTTATCTGGCGTTATCCATTTACCAGTTAGTGTTCTCAGAGAAAACTCAATTTTTACCTGGGGAAATAAGAAAAAAGATATGTACGACACAGGCTCATAACACTAGAGCATAGCACTTCTCCCTGTCTTTGGAAGGGTACCACATATTGTCTAACAAGAACCTTTATAAGCGCATAGGCTAACTGTGAAGCAACACTGCCAGTTGCACTTACACACTCTTCTGCTGTGTCTGTTTATCTAGACCATTTAAAACTTTTCCATCAGCATGCTGTCTATGTTCTACATATTCTTACTGACAAAAGCTCGTGAAAAAAAGTGCATCCAGCAACTTATTCAGGTAAAAGTTGGCCAAGAAGTTTTGTGCAAATCTTGTGGAGAAAGATCATTGTTTATGCTAGTCTTCGACTGCTTTCTCATGTTACCTTCATTCTAATTGAAACCAATGGGAAAAAAGCCATTTGATGGTTCAAAGTGTTCGTCAGTTCTGTGGGCTTTTTACCTAACCAAGTCAAGGTAATCAAGCTTTAGTTCTGAAAGCTAATCAAGTTCTGTATGGGATTAGAGATGACTTAGCCTTAATCATTGACTTGAATACAGGATCCCATTTCATTCAACACATTTGATACTCATTACAGTCTATCAGCTAGGTAAAATAACCTCATTGTGTCAACACTAGCATTAATCGACTCGCTTTCCAGGGCTCAGATAGTCTAACAAGTATTTTACTCTTGATACTTGTTTCAAAACTAATTTGCAGTGTCTCACTATGGCATTTTCAGCTTCAGGTACAGTGTCTTCTCCTCGCACGGTATGCTGAAAACTGAGCTTCAGTTCACAATGTTATGCTGACATCTCATTCCCTTTTTCACTTCCTTTTTTAGGTTTTGCATCATAAGGCAGCAGAAATGACTCCAAGAGACCATTCAAATAATGTACATAACATGTACCGCAGATCTGAGGTACGGTATCAGAGGGTAAATGCTATAAAATAGTCTGTTGTTTCTCGTATCTTCATCTCTGAGGTCTCGACATTAGATAGACTAATTGATATATGAGAGACCAAATGGTATATCATCTTTCAGTCTTGCTAGTTTTTTTCCTTAATATTTTCAAGATTATTTTCAGTTATCATGAAAAAATTCTGCACGAAAACTCAGAATGTGTATGTTCAAATTTATGCTTAATATCACTGAAAGTAGAGAACCTTATGGGAAAGATAAAATTCAAAACTCTTTTCAGTTTCTTTTCTGTTCTTCTTTTTCAGAGGTGTAAATTCCAGAAAAACTGTCCATGGTTTTCAAGGCATCTCCTATTCCACCATTTGGAATTATTACCTAATACTTAACCTGCTTCTCGGTGCAGAATCACCCTCAGTTTCTGAAGATGCTTTCCTCTGAATGCTTTAAATTTATGTCAAGTGATTTTTTTCAAAAAGACACTGTGACAAAGTGCCTGGATGCCTTATCTAAGACAAGGGCAGAACAAATAAATTGGTCACCAAGAAAAGTAGCAAGTAATAAACTGCTTCTCTTAAATGAGCCAAGTCAAAATGTTTTATCAAGGGTCACTTTTTACTTCCGGTGCTGCGTACTCTTTTAGAATTGATTTTTCAGTTCTATAGACTTGTGAAGATGGCTATGAACAAATACGTCAGCAATAATCCCTATTACTCGCTTCTCCTGCACATAACATGCTTTAGGAAATAGGCTAGAGATAAGAGATAGTCATGCTCTTCTGACCCTCAGCAATGACAAGAAGTAAAAAGAAAATTCATCTTTGAAGCAAACAAAAACCACAGGAAAAAAAAGGTGATCTTTTTCTTGTCTTCTTTCTAGGGAAACTGTGGTAGATGAGACCCAGCCCATTATGAGGGTTGGTAGGAAAGACTTTTTCTCAGGACTTTGGGATGATTCATTTTTCCTGCTTGTGAGGGCAAAAAAATAGAAAATGCGTGATGGATCATATTCAGATCTCCACTTAGGCGTGGAGACTGCTTCTCTCCACTAACTGTACAGTGAACTATGGTTTGTCAGTAGCAGTCCAAATCACTCAAGATTTTGGATGCTATTGCAGTCAGAAAGTCTAAATCAGGTACCCAAGGTAGTCAGCTGGAGTCTAAAGATGAGGAAAATAAGGGAGACAGAGCACATAAAGTCAGACGGTTGATATTTTTCTATTCCAGGTCTTCAAATCTACCTTAAGCCTATGCTTATGAGTGTAGCAGCACCTTGATTGTTACTTCTGCTGTGGGTAATGAGGCACCTTCTGAGAGCACTCATTAGATTACACAAAATCTGAATGTAGGATGGGATTATGAGCGCGTCTCTGGGTTGCTTTAGCATTTCATTTGCAGGCAGCAAGTGTTTTTATCTGCTAGCATACTGTCAGAAATCTGTGTGTTTTTGTGTCCCACAAAAGTTGTGAGATGGGAGAACGCAGCTCCCTAGAACCCCATTTCTTGCAATGAGGGTGCTTCCTGGTAGCAGGCAGATGTATATTATTGGTAGTGCCAGCAACTCTTCTTCTGTCTTAGCCCATCGTGAAAACAATTGCTCAGGGGTCCTGTAAACAAGAGTTCTTCAGTATCATTTTCAAAAAAAAAAAAGCCCATCAGTACACAATGAGGTGGCAGTAATTTTCACATTACTCCAGACAGCGTCCCATTCATTGCCTGATAGATCTGTTTTTAATTCAGATTTCCACTTCTGCTTTAGCTCTCCTGTTGCGGGTAGGCAATAGAAGTCAACTGTTTGTGTCCATTACCTAGGGCTTTATTTGCAGCCAAGCTTTTTCAGGAGGATTGCTTTATAGCAAAAGGCACAAACTAGTACTCAGGACTGTCTGTCCTACAGCGAGTGCAGAAATCTGGGAGGAAAAAAAACAGCTGAGAAGACCTGGCAATAGCCAGTGTGAAGCCTACCTCACACACAGGAAATTGATTTTTAAAATACATTTGTCTGACTCATCTCAAGGACACAAGGCAGAAAATAATAAAGAGACTGGAGAGTAATCAACACAGTTCTGAGAAAAACTGCACACCAGTCTAGCACATTTAAGCAATGCTCCCAATGTGATTATTAAATAATGCAAATTATGCCAGAGAGTAGGAACTACTCATTCTTCAATGTGCAGTTTTGTTATCTGCCCAAAATACAACACTTGAAACAGCCATAGCAAGCCTTTGGTCCATTTTCACATGTAACGAGGGTGTATGTTTTGTGGGGGACAGGGAGGCAGAGATGGAGCAAAGGCAAGTTTCTGAGAGTGAAAGTATTGATGTTATGAGCCCTAAGTAGTACTAAAGCAGTTCCTCTGAGGACTGATTGAATGTTTGTCTATACACAGGGAAGGCTGCTAGGAAATCAAAGGCAATGCTAAGACTTGGTAGATTAGAATGAAACCCCCTTTTTAGCTGCCATAAGATCAATGTAGTCTATCTATGTTTGCCCTGACAGCTGTGCTGTAATAAACTTCTGGAGAAGTGTTAACTTCCTGGTGTTTTGAAGAAGTGCCTGTGCCTAAGTATTACACGAAAATAATGATCGCGTCTGGCTGAGCTGTTCTCTCTGGATACAAATGCTAGTCGTAGGTTTCCTGAGGTTTTTTCTGCTTCCCACAGCAACTAAGAAACAGATGTGTTTCTCAAGTAAAACTCCTTCTCAGGATATCCGCAACGCACAGTAATGTCTGTGTGGAAACTGATGTTCCTCGTGCTGGTGTCATCAGACCTGCGTGCCTGGGCAAAATTAGTTTTCAGAGCAATGATTCTGAGGTGCCATCTGCAAAGCACAAGAATGCAGCATACCATGAGAGTACAAAATACATGCGCCTTCATCCAAGATGCTGGTCTATCTCCCCCTGCCACATGCCTCATATGCTAAGCTAAGTTCCCTTTCCTGAGTATGTGCCAAACAGTAAAAACAGCATAACCCCTTGAGTTATATCCAGTAACTCGGGGTTACTGGATCTTCAACTGATGATGATTCAGCGGCTGAAAATTCAAATGAAAATGCAATATTCACGGCTGACAGTGAAAAGTGAAGAGAATTAAAAGTAGGAACAGAAAGAAAGTAACCTGAGATCTGTTTCATCTTTCTTTTTTCTTTTCCTTTTTCTTTTCTCTCTGTTAGACTCCTGTGTCAAACACACAGGGATTAAAGAGCGTAGGCTAACATCAAGTAAGGGTAAGTAGCCGAAACTTTGTTGAATTTAAAGGTATTCCAATTCACTGTTACTTCCTTATTTAAAAAAAAAAAAAAGTTCTGCAGAATTTAGAAATGAAACTGATAGCAATTAACAGAAATTCAGATAATTGAACAATCACTCAGAATTGCTATAGAACTCATTCGAGAAACATCTTTTCCATGAAATTTTTAAGCCGACATCAAGAGAGAATCGAATGGAGAATCACAACCACCCCGTAGCATGCTTTGCTAGTTTTAAAAATCATCTTTCCATTCAGAATGACCAGATTTGAATTTGATTCCATATTTTCAAACCATAAAAACTAAAAGTAAGCCAACAATACCAACTCCAAAGACTTTACTGTGGATTCTCAATCACATTTAATCCAAATTGAATAGTGTGGAATTACACTTTCACTGAAATGAAGGGTTAACAAGCATAAGAAAGAACCTTGGAACAATAGTTACGAAATTACAGAAATGTCATCCCTTTAAGTAGTACTGAACTGTTCCCACAGGAGATTCACAGGAAGACCTTGGTACAAAATAAGTGGAAATCCAGCACCAGTGCTGAGAGATATCAGCCCTGATTCTGTGAACACTTATCAAGGTAAATAATCTCACACAGCAAAAGTTCAAGCTCCGCTGATTTTTACCTGTGCTCATTCCTGCATGAAAGAAACATATTTTCTTCCTTGCTGGAAAAATCCTGCCCTGGTCATCATCCCTGTGGATGCCCCATTTGCAATGGAGCAAAAGGTACCTTCACTGTGGAGAAGTGGGCAACAGGATTCATCGAGGGAAGATATTTGGGTGTTTAGGAGCATTGATGACATGAATTTCAGCTCCACTAGGACCTCCTTCATGCCTTGG